CGCCCCTGCCCCGCTGCGACACAGCAGCCAGGCGCGGTGGCTGCCACGGGACGGTGCAGGCTCTAAGTGCATCCAGACGAGGGGGCAATCGATAAATACATGCTTATTTATTACAGGGATAACACGGTTTCTTTGGGGTTAAATCCAAGAGAAGGCGTGAAGGTCGGTCACCGTCCTTTTCCGAGGACAGAACAGGCTAAAATCCCCCCCACTACAAAAGTTACCCCAGCAGTCCTGACAAGACGGAGCTTAGATTTAAAAATGTCCGCGATGATTCCTAACTGCTTTTGTGTACAGAGGCTTGGGAAGGGTTTTGGTCCAGGAGGCTGATTTCCACCTAGCCTGGGGGAGGTTGAAGGGCAGGGCCCTGCAGGCTGGCCTCAGCCCACAGACGCCAAGATGACATCTACTGGCAGCTCCTCCGAACTTCTGGCTGTCACCTGCATTGTCACCGTGTCCAAAAGCAGCAGGCGGGAGCGCACCAGGATGTCATGACCACCCCGGAACACACCTAGGAGGGAGGGGCAGGGGTGGGAGAAGGGCTGCAGGGGGCCGGCGAAGCGCTGCCACTGTGGACGCGTGGGAGACTGTGTAGACAGGTGAGGCCGTAGAGCCCCCATGCCTCTGTGAGCTTGTCCTCAGGGAGAGGGGAACACTAGCAGCCACATTCCAGGTTCCGCCAAGCTCAAGGCAGTTGACCTGAGGACTCGGGCTGAGCCGGCTGACAGCAGATGAAGGGGCGGCCCCACCAGTAGAAAACCACAGGGCAGAGTGTGCGAGACCCAGGGGACTGAAACGATGTGCCTGAGAGCACATGCCGAAGACTATAAACACTCGGCTGAAAACCCCACTTCCCTGTGTTGTGTTAGGGTCATCAACAGTACCTCCCCCTTGTCAGGGCAGGTCACTAAGGACAGCCTCATGAGGGCCAGCAGGTAGCCTGGAGGTTAGGGCGCTGGGTCCCACATGCCTGGCTGCATGGCTGAGTCCCGGACCCAGCAGCTGAGAATCACGCTGAGCGTGCATGTCCCAAACCCTGAGACTGGAGAAGGGACTGCAGCATGGCCATTCCCCGAGTCAGGGTGATTCTTCACTTTCTTCCTGTTGTTCTATGGCAAGTGCACACTCCCTGTAGCAAAAACTTTAGAAAAAGGAAAAAGATGCAGTCTAATGCACCCCAGGGTCCGCGCTCTGGCTTTAAGAGCTGACCGCACCTGGACACATGCATTTTGTCCCAGGATGTGCTCAAGCAGATCACAGATTTTTTTTTTTTTTTTTTTTTAACACTTTAAGCATATGTGCTTGCCAGAGAGAGAGAGCATTCTCCTTCTCTTCTCAAGGGGATGGGCATGCTGCAATCCCTTCTCCATTCTCCTCTTGGGATTTTGGTGCACACGTCTCTCTTAAGCTGCAGAGTCCGGGACTCAAACCATGTCTTAATGCCTGTGCCACCTGGCTGGCCCCCAGATATAGCATTGTCTGTGCATTGTTCTTCGTGTGTATGTGATGTCAGCTACAAGCCCTCTCTCATTATCCATGACACGGAGCACGTGTGTGCACGAGAGAGGGACAGAGGACCCCTGAGAGGGTTCCATCAAGACCCTGGGCACACGCCCAATGTTCTCAGGCAAACCTGGACATCTAAACCCATGGGCAACCGTGTGGCACCCAACACTGCAGCTCAGCTTATGGCCAGCTGCACAGGCCATGTGGCTTCTGACTCTCTGCTCCCAGAGTCCCCCACCCAGGCTCACCCACTGGGATGCTGTTACCTGCCAGGAGCAAGGTGTGGGTGTTCTTGCTGTCCGGCACTTTGTCTGACCTCTCACAGGGGTGCATCCCCAAGAACTTCACGATGTTGCCCACTGCCTCTGCAGGGAGAACACACAGGGTCATCCCGCCACACAAGCTGCCCCCTTCCTCGCACTCGGAGGGCCTGTGTGGGCTAGGTTCCTAGGGGAAGGGGGAGGAGCACAGCCACAGCACAGGGGCCTGGGGAGGGCCAGCGGGCCGGAGAGGGCACCACCAGGATCTCACCTTCAAGCGTCTTGATGGTTGACAAGGTGAATGTCTCCTCCTTCTCAAACTCATCCCCTACTTCATCCCAAGCCGCCTCGAAGTTCACTTTCATGACCTTCTGGATGTGATCGGCTACAGTGACTTCCAGGTCTTCTAGCTAGAGAGAGGCAGGCAGAGGTCAGGCTCCGACCCTGGGGAGCCCCTGCCAGACTTGCCCACACACCCCTTCCTGTGACTTGTTCAGTGAGTGCTCACAGCTGAGCAGTGTGCCCTTGGTGACAACACCCTGACCCCAGGGTCTGTCCACTCTCATCTCGCTCCTGCTAGAATGGTCAGCTGCAGATCATACCTCTCCCAGCCTGGAGTCAGCGCAGAGAGCCTGCCACCAGGGATTGCTCGAGCTCAGCCCTGCACCTGTCACTCTCAGGGCTCCTCAAGAGTAGCAGCCATTTCCGAGTCAGCAGCTCGTGCTCCCACCCAAGTGTGTCTTAGCCTGACACGTATGGAATCCCGTGTCCACGTCAGTTGTGTCTTCCCTGAGCAGAACGGTAATGCCAGCACCCACCCGCACCCTGTACTGCCTCGGTCTGCCTGCAGGTCCCCACCATCCTCCCAGCAGCTCTTCACAGACCCTGCTCTGTGGATGAGGGAAGTGTAAGGCCTGGTTCCTGCCTCAGAATGGCAGCAGATGCAGACAAAGCTCCTTCAGGTTCACCGGGCCTTCTGCCTCAGGAAGGTCCATTTTTGACTGTGGCTCCAGGATGACACTTGGTAACTGTTCCTTCAACAACTGCCACCTCAGGCTGAGCGTCTGCATTTGGACAGCACTGAGACACTGTCCCACAGTCAAAGCCCAAGGACCTGATCCCTGGCTCTGTCCAAGTTCAGAGGGGGTTTGGAGGGGTGTTCCAGACTGACACGACAGACTGCCCAGAGCAATGTACCTCGGCTACCTGGAGGGCCCAGCTTACCTAGACAGCAATCTGACAACAGGGAGCAGAGCCTTAAAGCCACGCTCACCCTTTGATTCAATTATTCTAAGGACTCTACCCTAAGGAGAACCTGAAATGCGGGATTTTTCTTATGTTTTTGCTTTTGGTAAAGAGCCTGTATGTGTGCATGTGAAAGCACCCTCGGCAGGGTCTGGTCACACCACGAACCCCTGCCCTCAGCCCTCGGTCCTCCAGCTCCCCAGGTCTCAGGCCCTCGTGTGCACACCTGCAACGATTCAGGCTGACTGGGAAGCTGAGCAGCCACAAGCCACGTGGCTTCCAGCATTCCAGCCCAGTTCGCTACACACTGCACCTACAGGCCGGGCCCCAGGGAGTGTTTACCCAGCATTATAAATAGCCGAACTGGGAATCACAAATGCTCAATGTTGGAACCAGTAGTTAGTATAATGGCTGTCACTGGACTCCCACGTAGTCGACTGCAGTTTGCGTCCCGGACCTGGTGGCTTAAAACCCATGCCAGTTGCGTGTGCATGCGTGCCCAAGATCCCGAGAGGAGAATGGAGAAGGGACTGCGGTGTGGCTGTCCCCCCTGGGGGGTGATTTCTCGCTTTCTTTCTCTCTGTCACTCTGTCTGGTGAGCGCACGTGCCCTATAGCAAAAACCTCTAAAAAACAAAAACAAAAACAAAAAAATAAACAAACAAAAAAAACCCACAAATGCTCAATGTTAAAGGAATGGAAGGTCGGTTAAGTAATGACAATATTCAAATAACACAGTGTTGTTAAGCCACTGAGGGGCCAACAGGTGGTCTGGTAATTAGGGAGCTGGACTCTCACATGGCTGACCACGGTTTGAGTCCTGGACCTGGCAACTTGCTTTCTCACTTTCTCTTTCTGTATGTGTCTTTCTCTGGTGAGTGCACATGTCCTATAGCAAATTAAATAATAATAATAATAACAATAAGTCACTGAAAACTATACTTACAAAGTCTTTGTAAGGGAACATGAAAATGCTTACATTATGGTTTTAAGTGAGAACAGTAGGGTCTGTGAGGAATGGCCCTGCCAGAAAGATAACTCCCAAGGGTTCCGCATTCCTCGTCTCTTCTGCACACGTTGTGGAATGACCCTGCCAGAAAAATAACTCCCAAAGATTATGTATTTCTCGTCTCTTCTGCACACGTTTTTGTCTTAAGTGGTCGGACGGTGTATTGCGTTTGCTAGAGACACAAAGGAAGAGAGACTGGCCAAGGCCTCAGCCTCTCGCCTCCCCGCCCGCTGGGTGAGAAACACACATGTACCTGGTGTCTCAGGAGGCTCACGCAGTTAGCCAGGCGGGACCCGGACCCCGTGACCACCGGGCCGTGGGCAACCACATGTGCGTTTTTGTCAAGAACCTTTTAGGGCCGGGAACCAGCAGTTAGCGTAATGGCTATGTCGCTGGACTCCCACATAGTCAACCGCGGTTTGCGTCCCGGACCCGGTGGCTTAAAACTCACGCCGGGCGC